CTGGGATTTTCCAGACAAGAGCACTGGAGTGGGGTGCCACTGCCTTCTCCAGCACATCAAAGTGGAAAGTGAAAGTGAAGTCGTTCAGTCGTGTCCAACCCTTAGGGACCTCATGGGCCGCAGCCCACCAGGCTCCTCCGCCCATGGGATTCTCCAGACAAGAGCACTGGAGTGGGGTGCCACTGCCTTCTCCAGCACATCAAAGTGAAAAGTGAAAGTGAAGTCGCTCAGTCGTGTCCAACTCTTAGGGACCTCATGGGCCGCAGCCCACCAGGCTCCCCCGTCCCTGGGATTCTCCAGACAAGAGCACTGGAGTGGGGTGCGACTGCCTTCTCCAGCACATCAAAGTGGAAAGTGAAAGTGAAGTCGCTCAGTCGTGTCCAACCCTTAGGGACCTCATGGGCCGCAGCCCACCAGGCTCCTCCGACCATGGGATTTTCCAGACAAGAGCACTGGAGTGGGGTGCCACTGCCTTCTCCAGCACATCAAAGTGAAAAGTGAAAGTGAAGTCGCTCAGTCGTGTCCAACTCTTAGGGACCTCATGGGCCGCAGCCCACCAGGCTCCCCCGTCCCTGGGATTCTCCAGACAAGAGCACTGGAGTGGGGTGCGACTGCCTTCTCCAGCACATCAAAGTGGAAAGTGAAAGTGAAGTCGCTCAGTCGTGTCCAACCCTTAGGGACCTCATGGGCCGCAGCCCACCAGGCTCCTCCGACCATGGGATTTTCCAGACAAGAGCACTGGAGTGGGGTGCCACTGCCTTCTGCAGCACATCAAAGTGGAAAGTGAAAGTGAAGTCGCTCAGTCGTGTCCAACCCTTAGGGACCTCATGGGCCGCAGCCCACCAGGCTCCCCCGTCCCTGGGATTCTCCAGACAAGAGCACTGGAGTGGGGTGCCACTGCCTTCTCCAGCACATCAAAGTGGAAAGTGAAAGTGAAGTCGCTCAGTCGTGTCCAACCCTTAGGGACCTCATGGGCCGCAGCCCACCAGGCTCCCCCGTCCCTGGGATTCTCCAGACAAGAGCACTGGAGTGGGGTGCCACTGCCTTCTCCAGCACATCAAAGTGGAAAGTGAAAGTGAAGTCGCTCAGTCGTGTACAACCCTTAGGGACCTCATGGGCCGCAGCCCACCAGGCTCCCCCGTCCGTGGGATTCTCCAGACAAGAGCACTGGAGTGGGGTGCCACTGCCTTCTCCAGCACATCAAAGTGGAAAGTGAAAGTGAAGTCGCTCAGTCGTGTACAACCCTTAGGGACCTCATGGGCCGCAGCCCACCAGGCTCCCCCGTCCCTGGGATTCTCTAGACAAGAGCACTGGAGTGGGGTGCCACTGCCTTCTCCAGCACATCAAAGTGGAAAGTGAAAGTGAAGTCGCTCAGTCGTGTCCAACTCTTAGGGACCTCATGGGCCGTAGCCCACCAGGCTCCTCCGCCCATGGGATTTTCCAGACAAGAGCACTGGAGTGGAGTGCCACTGCCTTCTCCAGCACATCAAAGTGGAAAGTGAAAGTGAAGTCGCTCAGTCGTGTCCAACCCTTAGGGACCTCATGGGCCGCAGCCCACCAGGCTCCTCCGCCCATGGGATTCTCCAGACAAGAGCACTGGAGTGGGGTGCCACTGCCTTCTCCAGCACATCAAAGTGGAAAGTGAAAGTGAAGTCGCTCAGTCGTGTCCAACCCTTAGGGACCTCATGGGCCGCAGCCCACCAGGCTCCTCCGCCCATGGGATTCTCCAGACAAGAGCACTGGAGTGGGGTGCCACTGCCTTCTCCAGCACATCAAAGTGAAAAGTGAAAGTGAAGTCGCTCAGTCGTGTCCAACTCTTAGGGACCTCATGGGCCGCAGCCCACCAGGCTCCTCCGCCCATGGGATTCTCCAGACAAGAGCACTGGAGTGGGGTGCCACTGCCTTCTCCAGCACATCAAAGTGGAAAGTGAAAGTGAAGTCGCTCAGTCGTGTCCAACCCTTAGGGACCTCATGGGCCGCAGCCCACCAGGCTCCCCCGTCCCTGGGATTCTCCAGACAAGAGCACTGGAGTGGGGTGCCATTGCCTTCTCCAGCATATCAAAGTGGAAAGTGAAAGTGAAGTCGCTCAGTCATGTCCAACTCTTAGGGACCTCATGGGCCGCAGCCCACCAGGCTCCTCCGCCCATGGGATTTTCCAGACAAGAGCACTGGAGTGGGGTGCCACTGCCTTCTCCAGCACATCAAAGTGAAAAGTGAAAGTGAAGTCGCTCAGTCGTGTCCAACTCTTAGGGACCTCATGGGCTGCAGCCCACCAGGCTCCCCCGTCCCTGGGATTCTCCAGACAAGAGCACTGGAGTGGGGTGCCACTGCCTTCTCCAGCACATCAAAGTGGAAAGTGAAAGTGAAGTCGCTCAGTCGTGTCCAACCCTTAGGGACCTCATGGGCTGCAGCCCACCAGGCTCCCCCGTCCCTGGGATTCTCCAGACAAGAGCACTGGAGTGGGGTGCCACTGCCTTCTCCAGCACATCAAAGTGAAAAGTGAAAGTGAAGTTGCTCAGTCGTGTCCAACCCTTAGGGACCTCATGGGCCGCAGCCCACCAGGCTCCCCCGTCCCTGGGATTCTCCAGACAAGAGCACTGGAGTGGGGTGCCACTGCCTTCTCCAGCACATCAAAGTGGAAAGTGAAAGTGAAGTCGCTCAGTCGTGTCCAACTCTTAGGGACCTCATGGGCCGCAGCCCACCAGGCTCCTCCGCCCATGGGATTTTCCAGACAAGAGCACTGGAGTGGGGTGCCACTGCCTTCTCCAGCACATCAAAGTGGAAAGTGAAAGTGAAGTCGCTCAGTCGTGTCCAACCCTTAGGGACCTCATGGGCCGCAGCCCACCAGGCTCCCCCGTCCCTGGGATTCTCCAGACAAGAGCACTGGAGTGGGGTGCCACTGCCTTCTCCAGCACATCAAAGTGGAAAGTGAAAGTGAAGTCGCTCAGTCGTGTACAACCCTTAGGGACCTCATGGGCCGCAGCCCACCAGGCTCCCCCGTCCCTGGGATTCTCCAGACAAGAGCACTGGAGTGGGGTGCCACTGCCTTCTCCAGCACATCAAAGTGGAAAGTGAAAGTGAAGTCGCTCAGTCGTGTCCAACTCTTAGGGACCTCATGGGCCGCAGCCCACCAGGCTCCTCCGCCCATGGGATTCTCCAGACAAGAGCACTGGAGTGGGGTGCCACTGCCTTCTGCAGCACATCAAAGTGGAAAGTGAAAGTGAAGTCGCTCAGTCGTGTCCAACCCTTAGGGACCTCATGGGCCGCAGCCCACCAGGCTCCCCCGTCCCTGGGATTCTCCAGACAAGAGCACTGGAGTGGGGTGCCACTGCCTTCTCCAGCACATCAAAGTGGAAAGTGAAAGTGAAGTCGCTCAGTCGTGTCCAACCCTTAGGGACCTCATGGGCCGCAGCCCACCAGGCTCCCCCGTCCCTGGGATTCTCCAGACAAGAGCACTGGAGTGGGGTGCCACTGCCTTCTCCAGCACATCAAAGTGGAAAGTGAAAGTGAAGTCGCTCAGTTGTGTCCAACTCTTAGGGACCTCATGGGCCGCAGCCCACCAGGCTCCTCCGCCCATGGGATTTTCCAGACAAGAGCACTGGAGTGGGGTGCCACTGCCTTCTCCAGCACATCAAAGTGGAAAGTGAAAGTGAAGTCGCTCAGTCGTGTCCAACCCTTAGGGACCTCATCGGCCGCAGCCCACCAGGCTCCTCCGCCCATGGGATTCTCCAGACAAGAGCACTGGAGTGGGGTGCCACTGCCTTCTCCAGCACATCAAAGTGGAAAGTGAAAGTGAAGTCGCTCAGTCGTGTCCAACCCTTAGGGACCTCATGGGCCGCAGCCCACCAGGCTCCTCCGCCCATGGGATTTTCCAGACTAGAGCACTGGAGTGGGGTGCCACTGCCTTCTCCGATGATCACCTTAGGTTATGGAATTTTAACTCAGTAAAAACAAACACATGAAACCAGGTTCGGCCCCTCGGCAGGCAGACGAGCATTAAGACCCCACTGAGAGAGTCCGGGGAGAACCAGGGGCGGGGGTCCGGATCCTTCCCCCGCCCGGAGCTTCTCAGGTGGGGTGCGCAGGGAACTCCAGACGGGGCCCCCGGTTGGTCCTTACTGAGCCCTCCGCCCCCACCTTGTCCAGTAAGAGGCCTTAGTCTGGGTGGGGGGACAGAGAAACTCCGCGCTTGGGGACACTCAGAGCCGGAGAAGCTGACGCAGCAGTGGGAACACGGGCCAGAAGTGCCACTCCCTCCCAGCTCTTCCTGGAGTCATGGTCCGAAACGGCGCTCCCCCTCGCCCAGCAGGACCCCGGTCCACCTCCGCGGCCCCCAGGGCTAAAAGGCAGAGGTGCCAGGACCTGAGGAAGGGCTCCCTGCGTTACATGAGTGTGTTTCTGCTGGAAAACCTGAACCCCCGCCCCGTGCCACAACGCTCTCTGCAGGAACCAAATGAGCCACTTCTGAAGGAACCAGAAAGCAAACCCGCCCCTCCTGCAAGGTCTGCCAGCTTTCGGGTCACCAGGATGAGCCCTCCTCTGACCAAATCTTCGACTCAGAGGCTGGAGGAGCGGGGAAAATGCAAATAACACGGAAGCGGAGGCTACTCTCATGTCCCCCAGGAAGACGCTGCCACAAGCAGCCACCTCCAGGCTCCTGCGGCCCAGCAAGGTCATCTTGCCCACTTGTCCTGCTTTCCCCCCAAACAAGGCCAGGCTCGCCTCCTCCTCTCCCCTGGCCGCTCCATCCGTGCGCTCCAGCCCGACTGTGAGCCGTGGGCGGCCCAGAGACCACTTCTCGAGCGGGTCCTCTGGAAGATGGTGGTCTCCATCATCCCAGCCCATGTCCACAGGGGTGAGGGTGGGGCACGGTGATGGGGATCACACAGAAGGAATCAAGCCAAGGACCCGAGTGCTCCATGCAGGATGGTCCAGCGCCTTCCTGACACCTACGAGCATCTTTGAGCAGAGGGGGCCTGGCAGGAGGAATGACGTCTTACCTGGAGGCATCGAAGCTGTCATAGGAGCCGACTGTGTAGTGCCGGAAGAGCTTCTTGCTGCGGTCTGCACGAGTTTCTGCACAGAGAGGGAAGAGAGACATCATTTAGAAAGTCACGGTCCCCAAACGCTGAAACCACAAGAGGCTGGCCAGGCTCCCGCGTTTGTCTGACCTCGGAAGCATGGGACCCGCTTCTCCTGGGGAAAGATCTGGGAGAGAGATGAGGCCCTGCTCTGCGGCCTAACTTTGCAAAGTGTGGGGGACGCCGATGAACGCCAAGGATGACTGTTGGAGAGTCCCGCGCTCCGGTCCCCATGGAGGCTGAGTCCCAGGGTCCCCAGGTGGTGGAGGATGCTCTCTGCAAAGGAGACAGGGCCGTGCAGGTCCCAGCGGGAGCAGTGGCGGCCCATCCGGCACACGGAATCTGCTAGAACGGTATTCTCAAGTGATGCTGCCAAGCCGTCCAGCAAACCTGAGAACCTGTGGATGACTGCTTTGGGGAAAAAAGAATGTTTATTGCTATTTTGCTGATTATCATTGTGTGTGTGTGTGTTCAGTCGCTCAGTCGTGTCCAACTCTTTGCATGTCCATGGACTGTAGGGCCCCCAGGCTCCTCTGTGAGCGGGATTTCCCAGGCTAGGATAGTGGGTTGCCATTTCCTTCTCCAGGGGATCTTCCCAACCCAGGGATCGAACTCGAATCTCTTGCGTCTCCTGCACTGGCAGGTGGATTCTTTACCACTGTGCCACCTGGGAAGCCCCTGATTATCATTACTTTCTCCTAAAACAAACAAAAACCAAACAGACATGATAAGTTCCTAATTAAGTCCTCTGCTTACTTCTCTTACTCAGCACATTTCGAGGTAAATTTCACGGGAAATTATATGAATGGTGTGGTTAGGCTTAATTGATAGCTCAGAGCTGGAGGGGGAACAAACCCACAATAGCACAAATGCAAGAAATACGGCTGCTTCTGATTTATTGTTCAGATATTTTCCCCCACAAACCCTCCTGCATACCTTCTTTCCCAAACCCTGGAAAAAATTTTGCAGTTGGCTTCAGGAGGATGGCTCAAATCTCATGTAAACCCTTGTAACTGTTGTCCATCTCCCTGACCCCACGTTTCAAAGCAAATGTAACTTTATCCAAACCCAAAAGCACATTTCCAGTGGAAACGTGAACAACTGCAAGGGCGTTGAGAAGGGTATGCCTGATAACAGCTGACTCTCCTCAGGCCCAGAGGCAGCTGATGCAGCAAAAATACACACCCCCTTCTATTAATATAAAGTGTGGTGTTGCCTTTGGGGGAGCCGAGAGCAGCAGGTGGCCAGCTTAGGACTACATTTCCCAGCACCCCCTGCAGCAAGGCATGGCCACGTGACCAGCTCTCACCAATGGAACTTGAGCACATGCCACTGCAGGTGGGGAGGGGAGGGGTGTGTGTGTGTGTGTCCCTTCCAAGCTTGGCTTCTATGGAGGCCAGGGAGATCTCCATACCCTCTCTTGCTGCTTCTCCCAGCTCAAAGCTAGGACTCCCAGGCCCGAGAGGATGATGGGATCCTCAAGGGCTCCTAGCAATGCCTGGGTCGCTGTGCGTCAGCTGTGAACGTGGGCAGCAGCCTTGTCCTGCCTTGTGCTATGCTTCAGGGACCTGCGTGTCACAGCAGCTAACACTGCCTTAAAGGCACTCCGTGACTCGGCTCCCCCGGCCTTTCCCATCACGCCACCCAAGGCTCCAATGACACGCAAGTTACAGCTCCCTGGATCTCGCTAACAGCTGCATCCCCATCGTGGTCGCTGACGCCGAGCACTGACTGGGTCCCAGGCCCTGTTCCAAGTGCTGCTCTTGCACCCACTCATCTGCCCGTCACGGCCCCTGGGGAGGGGGCCCGCGTGCCACTCTGCAGGTCCCATCCACTCATCTGCCCATCACGGCCCCTGGGGAGGGGCCCGCGTGCCACTCTGCAGGTCCCGCCAAGTCCGGCCAAGGGTGGTCCCCTGCTTTCGCTCCATCTCACGCCACCCTTCCTGTCCCCGCGTGTCCTCGCCGTGGAGTCAGCCACTCGCTTCTGCTTGGCGTTTGTCTCTGCTCTGTCATCACTGTCTTTGGGACAGGCTGTGGTGTGGGACCCCTCACTGCAGGGTTTGCACCTGGACAAACGTCTCCTTGAGTGACAGATATAAAGAAACTCTAAGGGACTCAAAACAAAACACACACATATGTGCAGTTGGGGCAGATTCTGGACAAGATACAAAAAGATCAAAAAGCCCTACGGCCCCTTCCGAGGAACAGGGAGCAAAAACAGGTACTACGCATGATCTCTGCACACACCGAGGGGGTGGGCAGACCCCCTCAGTCCCTCCTTTGGCCCAACCCACTGACCCGCCCCTACCCTCACCCCACTTAAGGGACCAGCTCGCTCCCCTGGAGAGCAGCAAGGGAACGAGTTTCTGGCTCTCTGTCCCTCGTGGGGCAGCATGCATCCCAGTAAAGCCTGGCCTGACTTCTCATCTGGCCTCTTTATCAATTTCTGTTGATTAAAGACTCCAGGAACCTGGGTCTGTAACATCTCTGTCCTTGCTAACATCTATTGAGTCCCTCCCCTGGCTCACAATTTGTGCCCATCCAGGCTCCCACTTGTTGGTCACAGAAGCCTGGTGAGGGAGGTAAGACTGCTGGACCCGTTTTACAGATGGGTCTGTTGACGATTGCCAAGGCCAAGGCACACGCCTGCTAAATAACAGGGCTGGGATGGGTTCCTGGCCAGCAGACAGGGCCAGGCTGAGAACCAGCAGACCACACCAACGGGTCCCTGGTGAGGGCTGAGTGCCCTCTTGGTGCTTAAAGGCAGGGATCTGGCCTTAGTTCTCTCTGTATCACCTCTGGTGTCTAACTCTTGGCAGACATGCAATGTTGCAGCTGGCAGACCTAATCCCAACAGTAAACTGTAAATCAGCAAACAGAAACACACTGCACACAGTCGGAGGGACCCGGGGGCACTGTCCAGCCGGGCCGGATGCATGTCTGCTGTGCTTGGCAGCCAGACCACATGTGCCCAGGTATTCCCCGTCCTCCTCTCTGGCGTCCTGCTCCACAAGTTACCATTTCTCAGGGCCACCTGGAGGTCAGGCCCTGTGCCCCCCATGAGGGGATTAGAAAGACTCAGAGAGGGTGGGGCCTCTGCTCTCTGGGGCTCAGGATCTTGGGGGTGGGGTGGGGATGTTGGCTGGGCTGAGGGCCCCAGGAGTCAGATAACTGTGTGGGGCAGGCAGAGCATCGGGCCAGGCCAGCCCTGTGACATCCGAGCCTGGCAACACACTCCCCAGGCCCTGCAGGATAAGTGGGATTGGAACCCGTTTGTGGGGATAAGCAACGCAGCTCAGGAAACCATCGAAGGACTGTGGGGATGGGCTGTTAACTGTTATTACAATTGCTTATTTCCTGTTGCTTAAGCCCCGCGTGCAGGCTCTGTGCTGGTTGTCTAGGGAACTGCGGAGCTCTGAGAGCTGGCTGGCGCCGGCTGCTGGCTTAGGTCACAGGTTCCAGGTGGCAGGAGCGGAGCGTGCAGTCAACGTGTGTGTGTGTTGTGTGTGTATGTGTCCACGTGTTTACCAGTGGAAACAAATGTTTCAGAAAGAGACCGTTTCTAGATCAGCTAGCCAGGGGTTCCCAGAGTTTGGGATTTTGTGGACCAAGAAAATCTTAGACAAAAGAGAGAAGGATGTAGACTAACATGAGATTTACCAAGTTTTTAATCTGGCCTTAAAAACAACGGGTTCCCTTCTGCCACCACAATTGTTTTATAAGAGAAAGGGGAGCTCTGGTGATCATATTATCTCTGACTGCTTTGTGAAAAACTCCCCCTGCACGGACACTCCCCGCCCTCTGGCTTCTGGACACAATCAGATTTCTGCTCTGAGATACGGTCCTGAGGGACAGCAAAGGGGTCCATCACCATCATCACCTTTACCGTCACCGGTGCCACCATCATCAGCCTCATCATAGCAGCAGCAGCATCTTTACCATCACCACCAGCATGATCAGGACCACACCACCATCATCTTCACCACCATCACATCTTCATCCCATAGTCACACCCGCCTACCACCATCATCATACGTTCATCACATCATCTTTACCATCACCACTGTCATGATCATCAGGACCACACCACCGTCTTCACCACCGACATCATCACATCACCACCTCCATCATCATCACCATCACCACCCCCACCAGCATCACTATCATCACATCATCATCTTTACCATCACCAACATCACCACTACCATCATCGCCATTGCTATGATCATCATCTTCATCACAGACTCATCTTCATCACCACCATCAATCACCACATCCCTATTATCACCATCACCATTAACATCATTCCCATCATTGCTGTCATCACTGCAGCTCTACTAAATTAGCTCTTTTTTTTCAGTAAATGAAGTCTTCCACCTTATTTGGTCTTCCTGCAGCAGCTAGGGCTAAGTGGATTTCTTGCCGCTGTTTTGCAGAAGTAGCAGAGTGCCATGATGAGGGATGTGGGCTCTGAGGCTACACTGGCCTGAATTCAGAGCCCAGCTCTGCTGTTTACTGGCTGCAGGTCACCAGGCTCTTCATTTGTAAAGTGGGGATAATAACAGTTCCTACTCACAGGGAAGTGACTGAGGAGTAAATGAATTAATACATGGAAAATGCTGCAACAGTGCTTGGCAAGTGGGAAGCACTCTATTATCTGGTTCCTCCTGTGCATGTAGGATTAGGGTCCTCTGCTCCTCAAGGAGGCCTCCAAGGTCACACATCCTGTGAGCGCAGACCCCCAGCGTTGTGCCTCTGGAGCCTGGCTGAGAGTTGCCAACAGCTGTTGTGTTTCCAAACATCCACAGGTATTCTAAGTGCTTTATCTTCATGAGCTCAATACTGTTACTGCTCCTGGCTGACAAGTGAGGAAGGTGAGGCTAAGAGAGGTTGAGCGAGCTGCCTGAGGTCACCCAAGCCACTGCGAGTCACAGCCTCGTGGGTCAGCATCCTCTTGGGTCCCTGGGAGGAGGAATCTTCACCAGCAACCCAT